GAGCTTAGGACCTGAATTTTTAAACTCTAAATAATGCAGACTGTTGTTTCAGGCTTGAATTCAAAAGTCCAGTGTTGAAATACTACGAGTAGATTTTGAGCCACAAACTGTCTTTATACTCTTTTGTGCCTGGTCCATGCAACAGGTTCTGGGCTACACTATTGTGTGTGGGTTGTACAATGGGTTTTGACTAATGTCCCTCTAAGAGTAAGGCTAAGGGACACACAAAGGTACAATGCCAAAAAAAAAAAAAAAAATTGGGCATAATGAGTAATTGGGCATTAGGAGTCACACCTGTATTGCCTACACTCAGGAGGCTGAAGCCGGAGAATCATGACTTTAAGGCCAATCTGGAACTACATAGTGAGACAGAGGCTAGCTTGAGCTACGTAATGAGATCCTGTCTCATTATGTAAAATATAATGAAAAATTAAAACAATGAAATAATAACCTGGCTTTTTCTGTATACCAAACTATTGCTTACTGATGAAGCGTATGTTGAAATGCATCGGGAGAGGGCTTTACAATGGCCTGGCTTTTGAATTGAGTGCTGTAAGCTTGGTTACTTGAAAAGCTTGTGTTCTCTTAAGAACTTTGAGAGAAGCCTATGTGATAGTTGTTGGAGGTGCCAGTCCTGACTACTTAGTGGTGTTGGAAGCTGTTTGTGGGGACTCCTGTAATCATAGATCTTGGAATATCTAGGGATAGGGAAAGAGGAAGGATTTGGAAGATTTTTGTATGAAGATGAACTGGGCCTTTCATATCTTCAGTTTCTGTACCTGTAGGTTCAACCAACGATGGGTTGGAACTTTGCAGAAAAAAATACACCCATAATTAACATGTTCAGACATTTTTCTTGCCACTATTACCTAAACAATATGGTATGACAGCTATTTACACAGCATTTACATTGTGTTAGGTGTCACAAGCCATAGACTTGTTCTAAAGTACATAGGAGGATGTATGAAATTAGGTACAGATGCTACGCCTTTTTGAAGAAGGACATAAGTATTTGCAGACTTTGGTTTCTGTGAGATATCTGGGAACCAGTCTCCCATGGATACAAAGGGACAGCCATATTTTTCAATAGTCTTTCTGATTACCCATCCATGAATAAAGGTATGACTCAGTCATCAAGCTGGAAGGCAAAGGGTATGCCCTTGATCTCATTTCTCTCTTTAATTAAAAAAAAAAAAAGAACCAGGCACAGGTGGTTCATGCCTGTAATCCTCGCTAATCAGGAGGCTGAGATTTTGAGGATCGTAGTTTGAAGCTAGCCTGAGCAGAAAAAACCATGAGACTCTTATCTCCAATAAAAATTGAAAGTGGAGCTGCGGCTCAAGTGGTAGAACACTAGCCTTGAACACAAAGATTCAAGGATAGTCCCTGAGTTCAGGCTCCAGGACTGGCAAAAAAAAAACTGCCTGCGCCCCAAATGCACATTTCTTGTCATTATTCCCTAAACAACACAGCACAGCAACTATTCGCATAGCATTTATGTTTTATTAGGTAATATAAGTCATGGAGAGATGATTTAGAGAGAGTGGGAGGCTATGAAGGCTCTGTGCAAGGTTCGTGCCATTTTATATAAGGCATTTGTACTTCCTTAGATTTTAGTATGTTTGAGGGAAGGGCTGGCCTGGAGCAAATTCTTCATAATTACTGAGTGACCTACACATTCTAGGATATTAAAACATCATAAATATACACACTGGGGTCTACCATAGGAATTTTTAGAAGCACAGCCCATCACAGCTAACTGTCCTGGCACCTTTACATATCCATCAAGTTTTACCAAGTGCCACGCTACCATTTTGGTTCTGTGGGAGTTTCCTTTGGGTGCTTCCATCTTGGATTCTCCTGATTTAGACTCAAGGATACCATTCCAGATGCTGCTTGTTCCTGTGGTAGAAAACATCACCTTTGGAATCCTTATTCTGTACATCAAGCCATTATTAACCGAGTAAGAACCTTCTGGGAGAAGTGATATAAAAACACCCTTCCCAATAAACTTCCCAAGAGGTATGTAGGAAATTTTTCATAGAGATTGATGAGACACCTTAATGGCTACTTTTTTAAATGTTGGTTTTAGGCATTTGATGTCATTGAACAATCTGATTAGATGAGATAGCCAAACATTTTCCATGGGCAGACTATTTGGAAGAAAATGCAGAAAAATGATCACTGACATTTGCTTGGCTTCCATAATAAAACTCACACAAATTACTTGCTCACAGTTCTGAAGGCCAGAAGCCTAAGATCAAGGTACCAGCAGGGTCGTTTTCTTCTTGTCTCCTTGGCGTGTGATGGTCATCTTCTCACTGTGGTCACTGTGAGAAAGGACCTTCATTTGATCTTCTCCTAGACCTTTATCCAAATACCAAATCTCCTTTTCTTGTGAGAACACCAGTCATGTTGATCAGTACCCACTCTAACGAATTCATTTTTACTTGGTTACCCCTTTCAAGTCTTAATTCAGAATATAGCACATGACAGTCCTGACTTTAATATGAATAAGGCAGCAGCATAACAGTCCATAATAATAATTTACTTCATGGCATCAGGAGTTATAACAAAATAACATTGCATCCCTCACTAACCCCAAATAAATCCAGGGTATGAATCAAAGTGACTACCCAGCACAAGGGAAAATTCTGGACTGAAGTCAAACACAAATTAAAAGTTAAGTTAGACTTTATTAAAATTAAAGACTTTTGCAAAAGACAGTTAGGAAAATGAAAACATCAAAACATCAGCCTCACACTGGAAGAAAATATTTCAAAATACACATCAGCATTTCTCTCCCAGGGACTTAAAGCTCAACAAATAAGAAACTCAATTTTAAAACGGGTGAAAGAGATTAACTTTACCCAAAAGATATATAAATGGCAAATGTTCAAACAGAAAAGATGCTTGACATTATTTTTTGTTAGGAAACTGAAAAGTAAAACTGTAATCATATAGGACTCATCTTCAGAATACCAAATATCCAACATTAAATTCATATACACAAAGACACTCTAACACACACACACACACACAGTACACATTCTTACAGGTGGTCCTCAACGTACAATGATTGAATTTATGGTCTTTTTCTCTCACAATGATGCTAACAGACACACATTCAGCAGGTACAGTACTTTGATTTTTGGTCTTTTCTGATGCTAGTTTCACAATGCTCAACAGCAGCAGGAGCCTTAGCTAAATCACAGGGTACTATGTTGCTTGCTAAGCTACAATGTTCAGAGATGATTAAATGAATCTTGACTTACCAGGACACAATCCCACTGTAAATCTAGGCACATACACATACGCGTGTGTTTACTTGCCCAACTAATTTGAAAACTTGGACCATTAATCCTGCATGCAAATGTTAAAACCACTCTAAACGGAATATCCTTCAATAGGTGACTAAATAAGTGTGGTACAAATAACTTGCCTAGCTGGTCCTTTTGTCACTGTGACAAAAGCCCAATGGAAACAAGTTGGAGGAAAGATTTACTCTGACTAAGGTTTCCAACTATCACTGTGTGTGTGTGTGTGTGTGTGTGTGTGTGTGTGTGTGTGTGTGTGTGTGTAGATAGAGAAAGGAGATGTGGAAGACTAGCTTACATGATGGCAGCCAGGAAGTTGAAAGGTGTGGGGGGGGGGGGGGCAGGGAACAGAGGGAAAAAGGGAGAAGGAGGAAAGGTGAGAAGAGCAGAGAGAATACTTCTTTGTCCCCTTTTGTTTTACCAAGGTTTCCCAGTCTATGGGAAACCATAGTCCTTCTGGAACCCATCTCCTGACAAACACACACACAGTGTGCTCTACTAATCCCCTAGGCCATTCACAATCCCAATTTGGTTGACAAGATTAGCCATCACAGTACTCAACAATTAAAAGAACTCTTAATATTCAGTGGCATAATGGTGAATGAATGAAGTCAGTTTCCATGCATTACCTACAGTATAATTCCATCTACATGACAGCCTTAAGAGAAGAAAACTTTAACAATGAAGTATCTGTGAAAGTGTGGGTCTTGGGGTAGGGTGTGGCTGGGAAGAAACAGTACTAGAAATATGTTGGGTGATGAATTCTTTTTTTTTTTTTTTTAATTTTGTTTTTGGGTCCGGTCATGGGGCCTGAACTCTGGGCCTGGGCGCTGTCCCTCAGCTCTTCAGCTCAAGGCTAGCGCTCTACCACTTGAGCCACAGCGCCACTTCCGGCTTTTTTCTTTTTGCTTATGTGGTGCTGAGGAATCGAACCCAGGGCCTCATGCATGCAAGGCAAGCGCTCTACCACTGAGCCACCTTCCCAGCCCCGGGTGATGAATTCTAACTGTTCAAATTGTTTAAAAGCACAGGTTTGTGGGTTTTTTTTTTACAAAGTCCATTGCACTGAATATTACTTTTTTAAAAAAAAAATGAGCCAAACCGATAACCAAATACTTTGAAGCACAGTGTTAAAACCAAGCACAAGCCCTAAACCAGAAGTAAAAAGAAATGCAAGTAACACATCTGAACGGTGCGTGATATACGCCAAGTAACACTCTTGCTGGGGAAGACAGGCTGTGGCTACACCCAGGCAGGACTTGGCATCAGCCAGGGGAAAGGTCTTCAGTGATGGGCTGAAGAAAGGATGAAGAAGGCAAGAAAGGGAGAAGGGTCAGTTTAGGAGCTGTCCCATTAGGCGGAAGGCGTCGACCCCAGAGAAGGGCACGGAAGTGGAGCCCAGAGCGGCTAGAAGTTTGGGATGCTTCGGAGTGGTGAGCGTGCCCTGAGGATGAAACCAGACAGGTGCGTGCAGACGGCAAGGGCAAGCAACAGGGAAAAGGCAGGATGGATGCAGATCCTGCAGCGAGAACAGAAGAGGATGATGGCCAGGGTGGGAAACACCGAGGCAGACACGCAGGCAGGCGTGGGTAGGGCTGGCGAGCACACGCGCCCAGGAGGCGTGTCCCAGTCCCAACCTGGGGCGGGGCGGGGCCGCGCGCGCGCGCGCACACACATACACGTTCACGTGGGAGGGGCGGGCGAAGGCGGGGCGGCGCGGCTGGGGCCGGTGACGTCAGGGGGCGGAGCCGGGAGGCGGGCGCTGCGCGCGGCCTCGGGCGGAGCTGAGGGGCGCGAGGGGCGGAGCGGCGCGCGGGAGGAGGCGGGGGAGGGAGAGGCCGCCCCCCTACCCCCCCCCCTCTCGGGGACCGCGAGCGGCAGCTGAGGAGGGGGCCGCCGCGAGCCCGGGCGCGAGCGAGCGAGCGAGAGAGCGAGAAACAGCTGATCTAGGGGGCGGGGGGGGGTTCTTCCTTTAAAGCGAGAGAAAATGGAAGTCGGGTAGCAGCGACTGCGGCGCTGCGGACGAGCCGGGCGGAGCGGCGCGGCGCGGCAGGTGAGGCGGCGCTGGCCGCGGTGCTGCCGGCCGGCGGGCGGGCGGGCGGCGGGGCCGGGCCGGGCCCGCGGACCGGGCAGGTGCGCCCGGGCCGGCGCGCGGGGTCCCCCCCCCCCCGCCCCGCTACTCCGGGTCCCGGGCTCCGCGGCGGAGCGGCTCCCGAGGCCGGCTGGGCGCCGAGGTCGGGGTGGAGGGCACCGGGGTGGGGAAAGGGGGAGGAGGGCGAGGGCGCCGTCTGCATTGCGGGCTCCGCTCCGGACCCTGTGGGCGCCGCGGGTCACCGGCTCCGGTTCTCCTCCCCCCTCCACCCCGGCGAGCGCGGGGCGTCTCTCCCGGCAGGGCGCGGCGCTCCCGCTGGGTCTGGGCTGCTGTCTCCTCCCGGTCCTTTCGCTGTCCGCACTGGAACGTGCTGACAGGCGTGGGGGGGGGGGGGAGGAGGGCGATCCCTTCCTCCGGGTGGGCGCCCCCGAGGGGGGGGTCCCTCCGCGCTGACAGATCTCCTCCCCCTACCCCCCCGCCTACCCATCCGGGGGTGATGGATGCAAAGGCCGGTCCGGAATAGCGCGCGAGGCCGCCAGCTGGACGCCCCGGCCACGGTTGCGTGGGCCCCGGTGGTGGCCCCGCGCGCCGCTCGATCGCTGGTTTGGCTGAGTCTTTGCTGGACACCAGTCGAATCGTTGATGTCATTTGGCTGTGCACCCGGAGGCCTTTCCTTAGTAATCTCCTCACTGGAGGAGGTGTGGGGGGGGGGGGGAATTGCAATCTGCCGTGCTTTAAGTGTTCCTTTAAATTTGGGAGATGTCAGTGATGTCATCATTAACTAAAACTTTCCTTCATTGGACACCACCGTTCAAGTGTACCCTCCTCCCGCCGGGTGCAGCTATTGCAGTCCTCTGAGAAGATTTGCAATTTAAAAAAAAAAATGGATTGGCCAAACGTCCTCTCAGCTTTAAAAAAAAAAAGAAATCCCACCTAATAGGTTTTTGTTGGGGGGGGGGTTGTTTTTTAATCTATTGCCTTGAAAAATGAATGATTTTAAGTGTAGCAGAAGGGAAACTTGTTAGATCCCAGGTGGATCACAGCTCACAGATCCAGGAGAAAGTCATGTACATACACCCCATACAGATACTTGTAACTCTTGCCCTATCTCTGTAAATGAGAGTGACATGTAAGAGGGAAACATGATTTAATAAAGCTTGTATTTAAGGAAGCAAGGAAAGGCAGGCAGTGGGGTCTAACTCTTAACAGGCTGTGATTGCTTCGAGCCTATCCACAGATTTTTTTTTTCTGAATCTCCTTCTCTAGTACGCCTGAGAGAGTCATCCCCCCACCTCACCCCACCCCCGACAAAGGGGACCAGCTTCCCTAAAGCCCTCCCAGCCATTGTGTATCCTAACAGGCTCTAAGACCTTTACAACACCCCAAGAGGGTCCAGCGCTTGTAGGATCTGCACAACACATCAACATGTAGGGGGAGAAATCCTCCCCAAATGCCAGCCAACACATCACCATCTTATTCTCTGAGTGAGCCATTAGTACCAACTCTTATGGGAACAGAAGTAAGTTCCTTTCCAAGACAGACTGAACATCTACTTCAGCCTATTGTATCAAAAGGATAGCCAAGGAAGGGACAAAAGTATTGACATTTTTGTATTTAATAATTAATGACAACTCCTAATTGGTTACAATAAGGGTGCTTTAAATTATTAGTGTGATCATATTGGGTCAGCAAGGAATTTAATACCCTATCACAGAAAGTTTGAAGCTGGTTAGGAAGGTGAAGCATTTGAACCCTGGACTGATTTAGAAACAACTGTTTACTGTAGACCCTTGGTACTCAGAGCCTACATTATGGGAGGTGATTGTTGATAAATACGAAATTTTTTCCAGGTGCATGGCTTACCTAGGCATAAGTTCTGGCCATTGTCCATTGGGAAGTAACTCCTGAGGGCCCCAGTTCTGGTGAAGGAGAGGAAGGAGCACCTTCTTCTGAATGAGCCTGGTGCACATTGGCCTCTGACCTTTGGTGGTATCATATTTATTCACAGTGGAATGTCAGTGTGAGATGGATGAGATGTCTTGTAGCAGAATTGGCTCCACATATGTGCTGTTCTGTGATTTTGCTCCTATTGTATGCAGTTACTTTTAAATTTGAGCTCTTAAGTGGTAACTGAGACTCTCACATAATTAAAGTCTCCTCTGCTAAGAAGAGTGATTGGTAGGGCTCTGGACTATGAACATTTAGAAATTTGAGTCTATGAAACCACTCTGGTATATCTATCCATTTTTTCCCTTACTGGTAAACCTGTGAGAAGAGTCACAGTAATTTTTTGTCTTAAATTTAATTCATCATGGTGCTCGTGAAATACAAGTGTTTCTACTAAATCTTTAGGGGTTAAAAATATTATTTCCTAAAACGCTTCTTTTAAAAATCAGTTGAAAGCCTCTTCACTCTTTTATGTTTAGACTGTCATGTGTTTCGATTCTAGGTAGACCAAATAGCCTTGTCTTTTCTTTGTGTTTCCTCTAAATCTTAAGGTCATTCATCCATGTCTGAGGCCCACAGAATAAAGGCTGAGTCAGCTCCTGCCAGGCCAGCAGGGGGCGTGCTAGACTCAGTTTGGCTTGACAGGGTTTCCACCAGTGCTGCCTTGTTGAGGGGATTGCCAAGTGTGTATGTATGTGTCTGTGTGGGGGAGAGAGGGTAAATCTGTGAACACACATGTGCGTATGTCTGTGTTTATTCTCTCGATCTACCCTCCTCTGTGTCAAAGGGATAGAAACTGAAGAGTGGGGCTTATCCTTCAGTGATCAGATTGGAAGCATCCCAAATGTGCACCCACTTCTCAAGAGGACAGGGAGATTGCTTGAAGGGCTCCACATCCTAAACAGTGGCTGTTGACTGTTAGCACACTTTGAGTCTGAGCACTCAGTGCTTTCTCAATACTGAGGGAGTGAGAGTGTTGGCTTGTAGAGGAGAGAGTCGACCTCAGGGACCTTTAGGCCTGTGGACTGGTAGAGGCAAGACCATGCCAACCAGAGCAGTCCACCCCTTAATGTTTGCCCTTGGTTTTCACTCCTCATTGATATTTAATACTTCTTGTGGGGGGGAGGACTCCTTGATCCCTTTGCCAGATTGATAGCCCATAGTGTTTTTCAGATGGAAAAAAGTAACGCTCAATCAATGTAGGTTTACTTCCCCTTAGAACAGGAGAAAGGAAGCAACTGTGCTGTGCGTAATCAAGCTGAAAGCGAGTGCCTGGTTAGTCAACCATGCGATCTCTGAGAGGCAGTTCTTCAAAGGAATGGAGCTGAGGGAGGTCAGCTCCCACCTGAGGGTCACCTCAGTGAGCTGCCATGGACCTTGCCCACAACTCAGATGATTATTGCTGTGTCTAGTTTAGAAATCAGAGCTGCTTCTCTCTTAACAGAGCCCTCGTGTCTACTAGATGCCCTACCAGAGAACTAGATGCCATGACTAGGTTGATCTAGATGCTATTTACTGGGCTTATGCCTAAGTTCTTCCTTTGAAATTGGCTGGAAAGCAAAATTACTGGTTCAAGAGATCTAATGAGAATAACATATTTTTTTCAGCTATGTGCAGAAGCAAGCTTTTCACTTTGAACACAATAAATGGCCCTGGGGAAAGTGCCATAGACATAGAAATACGTGTCACCAAGTTTCCTTTGCAGCCTTCTTCTACTGAGAGTGACCACAGATCTTACTGAGAGTGAATCCTGCGATTCACAGGCAATACAGTAAAACATGCCAATCTCCTTTATTTTTAATTGGGAGAATAGTTTACCCTCCAACTGTGAAAGAATAATATTTGTTCATTGATAGGCCATGCTGTCTCACAGGGAGTTTGTGCATCAGACCAAGAATAAATGGTCTTAGCATGGATTCGAACTGAACAGTATGACAAAACCACGCCTTTGGGTTCATAGTAACAGACAGGAGAATTGAGTTTTAACATGCCGTTGAATTGCTGCAATTGAAGGAGAGGCTAGATGCTGCTTTTGTTGTTTTTTTTTTCCCCTTTCTAACTTAAATATTTTATTTTTCTTTCTTTATCATGGTATGTAATAAAGGTGTTACAAAATGTTTTACTTAGAATATGACTTGCTTGAAGCTGGAGGGAAAAGGGGAAAGGGGGAGGAGAAAGGGGAGGAGAATGGGAAGGAGGAAGAGGAAGACTCACCAGCTCAGAAGTCACTGCTTGTAGAGGTACCAGTATGGGGAAAGGACTGAGAGCCCCAGGGCTCCAAGCTCCTGGATGCCCTATTAGATGCAGCGCTTTTAATTAGCTGTGTTATAGAAGCATGTTTAGCTGGCTGGTTTGCATATAGTATCTCTGGACAGGGTGGCAGAGGCGACTGAACTGAGATTGGGAAAGTGTGAACCCTATGTCAGCCACAGGTGGCTACTCGGGTTGAGGCCTGGCTTGCTTACGCTCCAGGTTCCACATGGTACAGGGAGAGAGTTAACCTCCCATATCTCCAGGACTTTATCTGGTAACATTTTGCTACTTCACAGTCCTTGCCATGACAGATTTAGGCTTTATCCCATCTCACCTTCTGAGAAGACAAATACATATTTATGCTAATGCAGGTTTTACATATATCTCTCTTGGTTTAAGCAGATAAGTCTAAAGTAAATGTATTTTGTAGGTTTAAGGGATTTTTTCTGTTTTTCCTCCCAAGGAAATACTTTCTATTTGAAAGGAGTGATGTCTTACCTAGTTTTCCTTACAAAGCTGGGGCAAATTTAATGTCCAAGTGGCTATATGTGAACACGATGCAATCTTGTACTGCTTTATCAAATATAAAATTAGACCTTTGCAACTCATCTTGCCTGTTCAGTATTGGTTTTTTTAGCATGCATTTCATACGACAGTGGAACATACACCCCATCCCTTGGTGAGCTAAGATTAAGTTTCTCCATTACTGCTGCAAGGTTTAGGAGCTCACTTGAGAGAAGCCAGCTGCATGAAGTAGAATCACACGTCTGTCCCTAGTACTGCCTGTTGGATTGAACCTGGCTTCCTTGGTCTTGCTTCCTTCTTATTCTTGGAGGAAGAAGACCCTAGGTCTGCTGTACCCAGAGGACGCACCATCCTGAAACGAGTCTCCTGCCTCATCTCTGTGCCACTGGGTTAGGAATTGCCTATATCAGGATCTGTGGTTCAGACACAAGCTCAGGGCACGTCCTTGTGGAGTTCTGCCCACTGCATGGTATCCAGGGACAGGCTGTGCCCTACCTCCCCTGGCTCCATTCCTAAAACTAATGCAATGCCCCCTTTTTTTTAGATTGGGTGGGGAGGCCAAACACCTTGCCATAGTTCTCATTTATTTCTCCCATTCTTTGAAGCATGTCTTTGTCTTGTCTATTGTAATGAAATAGTTGAAGCTGGGAAATATGTGTTTTAAAAAAATAATTTTATTTCATTTTGGAGAATGTAAATGTGGCATTGAGTAGCTCTGTCTGTCAGCCTCTGGTGAAGGTTCCCTCAGTGTGTTACAGTATGGCAGAAGGGACAAATATGTGGGGTGACCTCACTTTGTAACAACCACTCTCTTAAGAACTAACTCACTCCTTGAGAGCTGCAATAATCCCTTCTGAGGGCAACTGTTCCAATGACCTAAGTGCCGCCTTACCTGGCCCCCATATTCCCTCTTTAAGATCCTACCACCTCAGCACTGCTGAAGTCCATGCTTCCGGTATGTAAACCTTTGTGGGATACACATCCAAACCCCAGCAGCAACATAACTGCATGTATAATTTTTCATGCTTAAATTTAAAAAAAAAATCCTCT